AAAGTTGTGGAATTCTGTCTTTCAGGCAGGAAATTTCTGCTGCACTCAGAGATCCCAGTTGCTTTGCAAGGCCTACACAGGATGTTCCATCTAATAGTAAGTCACATCTGTGAGGTGGTGGCATTGGCCTTTAATCCCAGCACTCAGGAGGCAGAGGCAGGCAGATTGCTGAGTTCTAGGCTATACTTGTCTGCAGAGTGAGTTCCAGGATAGCCAGGGCTACAGACAGAAAACCTCACTCAAAAAAAAAACAAAACCAAAAGCATTAAGTCACATACACATATGGGAAAGGGATTCGTTGACACCCACCTTTACCTGAGGATTTATACATCATTAATGGCTGCTAAGGGGGAGGGCTTACAGGGCTGAAGCCATCCCCGAAAAAGTGTTGGCGGTTAATGGTCGCTAGGGAAAGAGGAGTCATTTTCTTCAGTGATGTAGCTAACGTTATATTACTCATGCTCCTATAATTAATCCCTATTTATGCTTTGCCTGGGACCCTGCAAGTCTCATGGCTGGCAGGGAGACAATCCACATAAGGTGAAGAATGAAACTGAGTTACCACCACCTTTTCAAGTGCTGGGTCAACGCTCCCAGAGTCTGACATTGTGGTGTGTTTCTTTTACACACTTAAGCACAGTCTAACTTTAGAAAGAGGTGTCCATGTGACAGTTATCACAACTCAGCTTTAGAGACAGCTACATGCTTTCTTTAAGCTCTTCCTCCTCTAATGCTTATGAGCACAAACCTAATTAAACCCAGTGGATCACAGGCGTGGAGGGGGGGAGAGCAATGTGAAAGTTAAGAAAGGAATAAATCAGCAGGTGTGGAACGGGATGAGAAAACTAGAATGGAATAGAAAGTTCATATATCATAATATATTTCATGTATCTATGGAAATGACTCAATGAAACCCATTATCATATGTATGCATAGGATAATAAAATAAAAAAGAAATTAAAAATAATTCAAACGCATAATTCGCATACTTTTTCTATCTAATTTTCTCAATGTAACTTCCCTTTTCATTTTCTTAGTATATTAAATCCATTCGTTTATGTGAAATAAAGTAGTGAAAAAGAAACATTAAGTCATAATGTGTCACGCTAACACACAGCACAGCTAGTAGCACCCAATATAGTAAAAATGAAAGACTGAAAAGAGGAAGGGTTAATACATGTTGTTGGGCACTTGTACATTACTTGGCTGCATTCCCATACAGTTCCCATACAGTCTTTAACATATTATTGTGAGAGCACCACAGGATGGTCAGAACAGTGGAAACTACAAACTGTATATGCAGTACTCAAAACTGAGCTGCAAAGGAGCTTGTGAACAGCACTTACCATGCTCTCTCACCACCTCCTAACAAGATTCTGGGGATGATTAGGTGTTCGTTTCCCAGCAGGCTTAGAGAAAAGTCTAAGACCATTTTATTTTAAATTTCAAACAGAGTCCACTCAATAGATATGACTTACATGTAATCTGCTTGACTAAAATGAGATGGAATAAATACTATGCTAATTAAGTGACTCATTTCTATAGTCAGTTCTAAAAGTTTCCTCTGGTAACAGTTAAAAATAAAATGGGCTGGGATTTTAACAGTCCTCTACACGAAGTACAGTTTAAATACTTTAATTTTGTAAAAATGTGATATTAATTGGCTAAGACTGCCAAGGCAATTATAATATCTGTGGGTGGCTTTATGCCGATCAGTGATGCTTCATCGAGTTTAATAAAATGATACTGCTTTATTTGGCCTGAATAAATTCTATGCAAGTGAACCATGTACATTCAGTGCTACTGCTTCTTTGTGAACTTACAGTCTCTTCCCTGATTATCCAATGTTAGCTCTAGAATGATTTAGATAGACTTTATCCCCCTCATCCATTCCATTGATAATGAAATGACAGTCTGGATAATTTGACTAACTTGTCAAACATTTGCATAATGAGCTTCCACTTGAGAGAAACCTTTGAGATTATATCTGCAACTTCATGGATTTACTACTTCTAATACAAACAATGCCATTAATTCCAAGAAAATCATTTCTATACTTCATTATCAATTGTAACAATGGGGAAAATTGAATCTGAATAATGTTCTTTCAAGTCCCATTTGAAAATTATTTCATTTCTCAATACTCAACAGGATGCTAATAGTTACTCCTGAGTTTGTTCACTAAATATACAGATAAGTTGTAGAGTACTTTATAGAAGAGGGGTAATTTGAAAATTATGAATTATATTTTAATTAGTCATAAAATTTAACATTTATCAAAATTTTCATATAGGATCCAAATTCATTTGTTATAGAAAAACCCAGTTTCACCAATATACCACAGAGCACTGTGTATCTTTTAGAATAAGTAACAAAATTTTAGTATCTCAGAATTTAAAAAGTGAACATATTTTATATCTCATGTCAGTGATATTATGACTAAACCCATAACTTAGTGACCTAATGTAAGGCACCTATATATCTGACTCCAATTCCAGCTTGATAAAGTAGAAGGAAAAGTGTTTTAGAAGTGACCGGCAGATTTTAGACAGTGTCATCAGAGCTACCTTATGAACTAAGAAATACTTAAAGTTCTGGTGTCTAAATTTCATTATCTGCAATGTAAGAGAATTATACATAATGACTTTGGTGTTCATTTCTCTAAGGTTATGTGATTTCATACTTTAAAAGATCATATCCAAGAGATAGTTTAGAATTGAACAGAAAGCATGAAATGAAAAATGACTGCCTTTTCTTTTTATCAAAATAAGTGCCTATTCCAAAGAAATCATTCAAATAATGATTTAAACACATTTCCAAAACTGGTGGGTTAATTGAAATAATAGAGCTATTGATAGTTGTGTATAATAAAATAGAAGTATGCTTTAATTATAATACAAGGTTTTTTTAAGAACATATGTATGTATCAAATGATATCTATTCTGATTCTATAATTGGATGGAAAAGATAGGTAATAACTACCAATAAATAATAGGAAGTTTTGAGAAAGCAAATATATGACTGAATGTCTTCCAATATCCTGGGTAAGTTTTCCTAGGAAACTCCACCACATCATTCAAGTTCTAGATAGATTATACATAACTGTTTGATTTTGATATTAGATAAAAATGAATGGCTTGGACTCAATAAAGTTATATATTAATTAATGAATTGTATAAGAATGTAGCCTTTAGGCAATATCATTATATGAGACTCATCTTACTCTAATATTGTATAAAAATTGTCCCATATTCATGGGTCCTCAGAATTTTCACCTGCTTCTTGAATCTCTTTGTTAATTTAAGATTTCAAAACAATTCCATAAAGTTTGATTCCTTAAATTTTAATAAGTTATAGTCTCAATCAAAAAAGAAAACAAATATAATTATTTAAATATATCAATGACATATTTGGCAAACTAATCTTTATGTGGTCAAATATTTTACGTACATTTGACTTTCAGGTTACATGCTTGTTTTATATTCAAAGGAGAAGAGGCTGAAGAAGGATACTGTGTCTAATCAGGGGTGGTACATCCTGAGCTTGACAATGGTTACTAATGACATGTTACAGGAATATCTAATTGAGGAATTAGAGAAAATTGTATTAATTCAAATAATTTAAAGTGAGTATAAGATGAGAGTGAACAAGAAAAAAATAGAAAAGGAAGAATACAAATATCATAAAGACAAAATGTCATTCAAACCTCAATAATACCTACCTTGCTTGAGGCTGCCAAGACATAAGCACATACACACATGTGCACAAGCACAAACACACACACACACACACACACACACAAACACACACACACTCACACATAGAGTGGTTGTTTTTCTATGGTGGACTAAAGAATCTATACTTTCTTTCCCAAAGCAAACTATGCGATTGATAATCTTGTACAATTTCCTTACCAACTAAATGAAACTTGCAAATATATAAAGGGGAATCTAGACCTTTCTTCGGAATGGCAATGTAGTGGCACCATGCTTTATAAATGGCCTTTTCAGAAAACATGCTGAATTACATGTAGTAAATAGTTTTTTCTGACTCCTGCATGATTTACTGGGACTTTTTTGGGGAACTCATCAGCAAGTCATTTTAAAGCTATCATGCTGTGATTAACTGCTGTGCCACTTTCTCCCCTCCAAATTCATGAAAAATGCAGACTTGCTGCAGATTTCACCCATTGTGTGAGTCTCACAACTGATTTTGTCATGATCCCTCATGCTGGGTTTATAGATTGCTTGAGCAGGGGGTGAGAACACCTACTGATACTGTCAGAGCAATCCAGTCAGATTCTTCTAAGTGAATCTGTTAAAACTGTCAACAAGTAATAGCCATTAACTTTGAGGATAAACAGAGATGGACTCTTGCTTCTAAGTAGCTAGAAATGGAAGCTGAAGCATTTTTCTAGCAAGGGGAGCTTTGTGTTTAAGTTCCTTGTTTTCCTCTTATTGTTCAATATGCTTCTTGTAACAGAAACTGGGAAAACAGATAGTTAATCCTTTTAAACATGAATATTTTTCTGTGTCTTTTTTCTGGGGTGCATGGTGTCTTCAGCGATAAGGCTCCACACCAGGGTATTGACAACCAAGAACAACAGATGTAGGCTGTATGTTTTGGGAGTCTCTAAGCTGGAACTGACCTGACTGCTCCTTCCACAGGACTAGACTTCATGGTAACAGAAGATACCATGCAAGTTTCCAAAGTGTGTAGGGAATGAACAGTCTTGTCCATCTGTGTTGCCTATAATCATATCAATAAACAGCATGCCATGATAACCATGAGGTTGAAATACTGGGATTATAGTTTGCTAGTACTCAACTGCTCTCTGATTGGACTTAAGACATGTTTAATCATGCCTGGCACTGGAAATGTAGATAACTACTCAGTGGTATGGAAATCAAGGTTATTGGAGGATAATCTATAACCGCTACTTTACTAAGTCAGCATGTTTCCTAATGACAATCTTTAAACATTTGTTCTTATATTCACAGAAATATGCAGCCCTCAACCCTCATCAAGATAACTTCTCTTTGCAGCTGAGGAGGACCATTACAAAAAGAGCATGCACTCAAAATGCAAAGATGTGGAGCCCCTTCCAAACACCCCCTCACCTAAAGCTTAGGGAATATTTTAGGGATAGAGTCGAGTGGGGGTGGGATGGCAGTAAAATCAGAGGATCAAAGACATTTCTATGTGATTGTGTCTCTTAGTAACACCCAAAGCTATATCCATAAAATCTCACCAACCTAGCTGCCCAAATATGAGCTGAACAAGGTGTATACCACCAAATATGTTAAACTGAGTGGGGGAAAATCCATGAGGTTTCAACCCTACACAAATAACTACATTAACTGAGTAACACGGCCTACTATAGGGGAAAGCATGGTGATTATTTATCCAGTACCCAATGGTCAGGCTTAAAACTATGAATATTAGTAACATTATATGAATTGAGCAGGTTATATTCCAGGATACATATGTATACACAATTACATATACCCACATGAGTATAACAGAAGTCATTAGTTTAGAGGAGGGTGGGGGTGATTTTTTTTTTGAGGAATTTAAGGGAAAAAAGGTAAGGGAGAAAAATGTTATTAAATTATAATCTCAAACTGGGCGGTGGTGGTGCTCACCTTTAATCCCAGCATTTGGGAGGCAAAGGCAGGAGGATTTCTGTGAGTTCAAGGCCAGCCTGGGCTCCAGAGTGAGTTCCAGGAAAGGTGCAAAGCTACACAGAGAAACCCTGTCTTGAAAAACAAACAAACAAAAATTATAATCTCAAAAATAAACAAAAGATTTTTCCAAGCAAATGTTCCCTTTTTTACACTTTTATTAATTTGTCAAAAAAAATGAAGAACTTAGAGATATAATTCTTTTTTTAAATTTACTTAAGGTTTATTATTATTATTATTATTATTATTATTATTATTATTATTATTTACTCATATATTACATTCTGACTGCGTGTTCCACTCCCTCTCTTCCCTCAATCTCTCTCTCCCATATTTCCCCTCTACCCAGACATATACTACCTTCCTCTCCCCTCAGAAAAGTCCCAGGGACATCACTCAAACATGTTCAAAATATGCTACAATAAGACTAGGTACATACTGTAACATCAAGGCTGGATGATGAGCTGGCCCAGTAGAAGGAAAGGGATCCCATATAGACATATATATGAATTCTAATTCAGGGAGTCATATATATGAATTCTAATAATTAAAAATTACTATGACAGGACAAAGAACTAGATAAATACTAAGGAATAGAAGAGTATCACAAGTATCCTAAAGGTAGAATGTCATTCTAACCTGTTATCTGGCATGTTTAAGCCTACACACTCACACATATGAGTTGTTTTCTTGGTAGAAAGATGTTTACTCATGTATTTTTATGTAAGTTGCATGTACGCCTGCATGACAGAAGAGGGATCAGATCCCTTTATAGATGGGTGGGTGTGAGCCACCCACCATGTGGTTGCTGGGAATTGAACTCAGGACCTCTGGAAGAACAGCCAGTGCTCTTAACCACTGAGCAATCTCCAGGCCCTTCTTGGTAGAAAGATGTAAATTATATTTAAGCACACGAATTTTCTTCTCCAAACACACATAGTTGAAAATTTACATCAATTTCCCTAGCAACTAAATCAAGCTTACAAAGGAAGGAAGAAAAATATTTGACCTAACTTTGAAATTTTTAAGTGAGCTGTCAAGGGAGACAAACAATTATATGGCGCTACAACATCTACGAACTAGGGCAAAGGGCAACATGGCAAAAAAAAATGTACAAAACTGTAATAAGTGACACTCATGTTGGTCACAACCAAGAGGCTTGATTGTTACTTAAGAAAAGTTTATACTTAAGAAAAAACTCAACAGGGGATAAATCATGCCTGCTACTTGAAACTAGCAAGTTTGATACGCTTACTGAGGTCATGGATCTTAGGAAAGTATCTACTGTGTGTATCCTTTTCTATTCCCCTACAAGAGATCACCTTATTTCCTATTCCACTAGCAGGTCACTGGTACTATGTTACTACCCTCTCTATTGCTCTATTTCTTCTCTTAAGAACTCTGTTCAGTTCCCAGTTTTTGAGAAAAACCATGTTTTAAAATTATTTCTTAGGTTGTTTGCATGAGTTCTGTTCACATTCTGGATTTAATGCAATGTTTGATGTGTAAATGGAAAAAAATCTCTAGTTCTATGAGCTGTTTCATCGACTAGCTGATTGCTTTTTCAGTTTTGAAGATTTTTAGTTTTTCGAAGTCACACTTGTCAATTGATGGCCTTAATTTTTGGGTAAATTGAATTCTATTCAAAAATCTTTTCCTATACCTATATCATGTTACAAAATATCTAGTTCTTTCTTTTATCCAGAAGGTTCGATGTTTATTCATTCATTTGGAGTTAGTTTTTGTTCAAGGTAATAAATGCAGGTTTAATTTTATTTTTCTGCAAATGGACATCTATTTTCTCCAGAATCATTTGTGAAGGTACTTTCTTTTCTCACGTGTATGTTTTTGGCATCTTTGTGAAGTATTACATGTTTGAAGTTATGTATACTCCTGTTTGGGTATTAAATTTTCTGTCTTTGGTCTACATGTCTGTTTTTTTTTTGTGCCAGTACCTTATCATTTTTATTGTTATGGATATGAAACATATCTTGAAATATATAATGGCAATCCTTTCCCATGTTTTTCTTTGTCCTCCTAAAAAGACTACCCATGGTCTTTTCTGGTTTCATATGAATTTCAGAATAATTTCCTTTTCTGTTACTATGAAGAATGATATGATATTAGAATGACTCCTTATGACATATAGCTGTACTCAGACAACAGTGCCTTGATCAATCCACATCACAGAAGCATATTCTCTCAGATGGAAATTAACACAAAGTCCCATACATTGGCAATATACAGAAAGGGAGATACTCCAACACTCAGTCTTAATGGAATTGCTTCATCAAACACCTCCCCTCGAGGCCCCTCATCTATGCAGAAGAAGAGGTGGAATGATTGTAAGAACCAAAGGTGATACTTGATTCCAAATAATCTTTCTTCCAGAAACAAAAAGACCTATGTCTATATGAACTCAGAATCTTGGGTAGCATGAACAACCCTTCATACATTCCAGACAAGTGAGATCTCAGCACTGACAGATGGAAATGGACTTGGTTTCCCACTGATAACAAGAAGCTATTTGCAACTGGTAGTTGCTGAGAAAGCAAAGATCTTTTTTCTCCAATAGAATCTAACTAGGTAGTTAAGTTACACATAAGACAGGCTCCATGCACAATAGTGGCCAACAAAAAAAGAGATTGTCCAAGAGACTGCTAAAATATTACAGACTCTCGCTTTTACCTTTGATAACTTTAATGAATAAGGGAAGTAATTTCCTATGCTGAATACACTATGGGCTGCAGACTAAGGGCTGGTGGTACTTGTAAATTGTGGGTAAAAGGTGGCAATTGGGTCTGA